CATACATACATACAGACATACATACAGACATACATACATACATATACATAGATGCGTCGACTTCCCACCAGTCCACGCACGGTAGAGAATTCCTTGTGGCGCCGCTGCCAATCTGGCAATAGAAGCAATGGTTTAGCATGGCGGCTGTCTAGCAGGACCAACATGCTCACGATCCAAATGTGGTACAACCTGGCGCTGGCTACAGTCTGGCCAATCTGGCGACACTACCAATATGGCAATCTTTCAACTGATGCAACCTGGCCAACCCTGACGAACTAGAACCACGTGAGGCCGCAAACCATGAACAGGAAAGGAGATGGCGGGCAAGAGAAACATATTGAAAAATCAACCTCCGATTGGGCTGCGCCGGATTGGCGCCGGATTGGAACGCAGAGGAGACTGATGCCAGATTAGTCATCCAAGATGTCGTGCTGGCCTCCGACCACCCAGCGACAGGGTCGTACGCGCCTGTTTGGAGCCCCAGGCCCCTTTGGAGCACCCCGTCGGACCTGTTCGAAGCCCGCCCTTCGGGGCCAGGATGGGAGGCGGAAAGATACGAGAGAAGGGAGGGGGAGCTGGGGAGGAGAGGAGGAAGCCGCCCTCACATTGATCAGGAGCTCAACTGCTTTGAAACAGAATCTCTGCCGAGCCGCACGTCATGGAAAACTGCGCATCAGCAAGCAACCACCGCGCAGAACCTGATTGCAGTCATGAACGTTCATGTTAGCGTGGGGCGGGGAGGAACGGCGAAACACGCAGGATGACTCAGCAGCTCCAGGGTGGGCGCGATGCGCCAAACTGAATGATAGCATAGCCCATCATCATCCGACGTCTGACTCATTTTGCGCTCTCTTCCTCCTCCTCCTCCTCATCTTCGCCTTCTTTCTCTGTTCCTCCGCCGATCCTCCGCCCCTCCCCCCCGCTCGAGCGCGGGAAGAGGAGGGAGGGATGAAGGCAGTGGGGCGAGAGGAACGATGAGAAGGGAGAGGAGAGGATTGGGCGGGGAGGGAACGCCAAAAGCGACCTCCTGGTTGCTGCCTCCTATCCTCGTTCCTTCTCCCTGCGCAGGGAGCCTCGGAAGGATCCAAGCGCCCAGCGCCAGGACGGCCAGGACGGGCCCGAACATGAGCCATTGCACGACGACAGATCCCGACTTGCACCATGCACCATGCTCCCTCCATTCCCCCTTCCCCCCCCGGCCTCCCTCATCCTTCTGTTTCACCCCTCACCCTGATGGTTCCTCCTCCTCCTCCTCCTCCTCCTCCTGCTCATCGTCCTCCTCCTCCTCCTCCTCCTCCTTCTCCTCGTCCTGTTCCTCCATGTCCTCTTCCGTCTTATGCCTCCGCGAATTCCATCCCTCCCCCCTCCGACTGCGTTACGGCCCCTCTCCTGACCTCACCCCTTCCGTCCTCCTGCCTTTCTGCATGGCTCGCATCGGGGTCCTCCAGCCGCTTCTCCTTCTCCTCCAAATTCTTGCACTTCCGCTCTGCTCGCTGGAGCGCGACCACCTCGCCCGAGGAGAGGGGGGCGGGAGAAGGACGAGGACGGAGAGGGGGAGGGAGTGTGAGGAGTTGCTCGCAGCCCTCGGACCCTGGAGGCTCGTTTCGGGCCCAAGCCCAAGACACTATACATCTCTGTACGCATACCTGTGCATGTGGAGCAACAGCGCCGCTCGCCAGACAGAGACAGACGAGCCAAAGGTGAACGCAAACGCGGTGCGCCGACCACATGGCACGTACGCGCTCAAGCTCGCGCTCGCGGTTCTCCGACGAGAGGGGTCTGCCTGGGGAGATGTGCGTGCGTCATACGGCTGCCATGGATGAGCACACGCGACCCGCCAATGATATGCAGCGCTGCTCTGCACGATAGAGAACCATGTAATATCAATGATGATCCTGATGAAGGCGAGGAGGGAGGAGGAACGCAGGAGGAACCGAGGAGGATGAGGGGGGGGGGAGATCGCGCGTGCGGGGAGTAGAAGGTACGGAGGGGCAGGGACGGAGGTGGGAGGGTGGGATCGGGTGTAGAAGGGGGGCGGAGGGGATGGGGATGGGAGGCGGTGGGCGGGGCGGGGGGGGGGGGAGGCAGGAAGGACGGCCCGCCCACGGGCAACGCAGGCGCCCGCCTGCTCGATGGACTTGCGCCTCTCCTCGACCAGCTGCTGCTCCAGGCCTCCGAGCGAGGACGACGACGAGACAAGTGGAGGAGGAGGCAACGGAGGACGATGACGAGGCAATGGCGAGGGGGAAGGACGACCAGGGCTGCTCCTCCTCCCCCTGCTCGCTCGCCGCCCTGCACACGCGGACAGCCTCCGCATCCCCCCTCTTCCTTTTCCCGCTTTCTCCTCCTTCTCCTGCTCCTCCTCCTATTCCTGCTCCTCCTCCACACCCCCCACCTCTCCCCACTTATACTGATCCTGCTCCACCTCCTGCTCCACCTGGTCTTCCTCCTCCGCCTGTTCCTACTGGTCATGTCCTCCTCCTCCTCCTCCTCCTCCTCCTCCCCTGTGTCCTCTCCTGCCCCAACGAGAGGTGATCATCCAGAGCGGATCCAGGGCTGGCCCTGGAGACAACCCAGGTCCTCAGCGAGCAGATGCGGGGCTGCGAAAAAACTGGGAAAGTCTGGCGAATTCGGTCGCTGTGGTACACATAGTTCGAGGCTCATCCGTCGAACATGACGCCGAGTCTGTCCGCTGACTCTGTCCTTGCGGTTCGCGAAAGCATTACACGATCGGGTCCTGGAACATGCCAACCGTTTGTCCTTCTGGGCATAACCGCGGCCGAAAGGGTGATCGAGGGCATCGAGATTATGAAAACATTGGAACGGCACTGTGCGCTCACAACTAAGGGCCGGACTGGATAGCCGCACGCTGTCTACTGCCGCAACAGGGTTGGGCACGCCAAGCGAGTTCCGCAAGGTCCGGCGTGACTCCTGCGACTGGCGAATGTGCAATAGCGGACGGACATGTTCTCTAGAATGCTCAAACACATCTGAACGAGCGACTATCCAACCAAGCCAACAATCAGAATCAACCCCAGCGGGTAGCACGACAAACGGCAGTCGAAATCATGTCCACTCGATCCGCTCGCAGCTCCCATCGCTACTGAGCCTGCACATTTGAAGATCGATCCACAACAGAGTCGATGATCATGGCGAAATTCTGGACAAGAAATGTCGCTGGGACAGGAAGTGCAAATGAAGGGGCAACTAATGCGATCGAGAACGTGCTAATCTTACAACCCCCATGAATCTTAACGTTGCTTCGCGGAAAAATCTGGCTTTGGCAATGGGTCTTCCGCGGGGCACCACCCTTGTCATTCGAATAGCGGTCTTGGATCGTAAGCAAACCTCGGCGACTGTTAATCGGAGCATCATGTGGTCCAGTGTGGGTATGCACGAAATCAATGGAGAAAGACGATGGCCACCGATGCAATCTGTATGTATGTGTATGTGTACATTATACATATAGATGTGTGTGTAGTCATTCCCTTCGCCTAGGACTATATCCGCCACTGGTGCACTGCGCCGAATGTCCTCAGATCCCATCGGCTCCTTTTCATCGCGAACTACCACCGCCTTCAAGTACAGAGGGGCCCAAAGGCCCATGGGGCGTATCTCCTGGAGCGTTCCGCGTGATTCTCGGGGAGGGCCGCATGACTATTCTGGGGGACTCGGGAGCGTGTTTGTGACTCAGTATCTCCAACATGGCCTAAGATAGTCTCCGGGCCCGCCCTGGTCCATGGCAGGCCTGGAGACCATCTGGAGCCATTGGAGCCTTCTTGAGCGCATCTTGGGCTGTCTTGGAGGCCCGTGCGTTGGCCAAACTGTTGCATGCTTGGAGGAACAACAGACAACGCGAACAGATGTCTCGGAGATCCGTGCACATCTCGTGGATCGGCGCTGGACCCCCCTCCCCGGCGCGCGGAGCGAGCCAGGGGCGGCGCCAGAGGCGCCGACTACCGATCCAAGGAATCCGCGCGGAGCTGCACTGAGCTCTGCGGTCTTCAACCGCCCAAGACGGCACATGAGGCCGCCAAGAACGCCCCGAGAGACGGCCCCAAGAGGCCGCCGAAAGGGCCCCCGGAGGGCCCCAAGATAGCCCCAAGACAAACCAAGAGGGGCAGCCAGAGCCGACATTAAGGTGGCCATTGAGATCGACAGGAGGCCCCAGGAGGTCCCGAAGAGGCCGCCAGGAGACGCCCACAAAACACAAAACAGGCCTCCCAGAAGCGGGAGCCCCTGTCCACAACCCAGGCACGGTGGCAGGCTGGGCCAGCAGCCATCAGACCTGCTTGGCACGGGGACGGGAAGCGCTCGTACTTTGTGAGGGCGCGAGATTTCTTGCTCAGTGTCTGGGAGCCCTCTTGGTGTTAAGACTTCGGTACGTCATACAGGTAACTAACAGACAACCTTACGAACATCAGTGAACCTGACCTCTCCAGGCTTTCGTGGGGGTCTTTTCAAAGCTCCGTTGGGCCGTCTTTGGGATCTCATGGGTTGGCTTGGAGCCCTCTTGGGCCGTCTTGGGGGGCTTGAGACGTCTTGGGGCCCTCCCGGGGCCCTCTGGGGACTTCTTGGGGACCATCTGTGTCCCATGGGGCTCTCTTGGGAATCTTTTGGGGCTCTTAAGGCCTCTCTTGGGCCGTCGTGGGGCCCTCTGCGGCCGTCTAGGAGCCCTCTGCGGCCGTTTTGGGGCCGTCATCGGGGCCTCTTGCGCCGTCTCAGGGTGATCCTGAGGGCCTTAGGCCGTCGTGGACGTTGCGAAATGAAGACCGACGAAACAGAGATGCTAGACCATTAGGTTCCCCCGAGGGAATGGGACGATGTGCGCCTCTTGGGCGTCCTTTTGGACGCCTCGTGGAACGTTTTGAAAGCATATCTGGCCGTTTTTTGAGGCCATTTCGGACCCTCCTTGAGCGTTTTCGGGCCGTCTTGGGGCCCTGTGGCACTGTGGGCCCTCCCTGAGGCCGTCGTGGCACTAGCTTGGGCATTCTTGGGGCTGTCTTTGTAATTCTGTGGGGGATGACCATAATTTGGTGCTGGCAAAGCGCTACCGCGGCGCCGGCCTGTAGCCAAGCGCGGGTCCAAAGAGGCGCTTCGACGCACTGAATCCACTGCAGGATGCTTGCTGTCGGCCCCCAAAAATTCTCAAAAATTCGGCCCAAGCCGCTCCGCGGCATTGAAGAGAGAAGACGTTATACTCACGCGATAACAGAACCAGAGAGAATACATACTTCTCATGCCATAGCAAAGCCACCCTCATTCATTGGCACATTGAAACAGCTGATCTGCTCCACGGCGATGAGCAAAACCAGCGCGACGGCCAAACCCCCAAGCGACATTGACTGAAGCCTTGGGAAATAGCCAGCACGAGGGACGACCTGCGGACAAAACTAATTCACGCCGCTCCACGGCAAATCCGCCGACCCTGTCGGCGGGTGGTCCGCGTGTGACAGACGCTCTTCCATTAGCCATCGTCGCCGTCGCCGTTCCCCTGGGCCCCCTCAAGCGCGCCTGCCATCGCGAAGTGGAACAACAACAGCATTCTTGATTCGAGCGCAAAAACCATCCCTTTGAACCGTTCCCCGTCTGGGGGGGAGTCCCAAGGGAGGCCCATGCACCTCCCGGGTCATAATGCCGCCCCCTGCGAAAAACCCAACCATACGCATTTAAGGATACTGCAATTGTGAATACCATCTTCGCCCACACTCTCTATGTGGCCACCGCTTCCGCCGGAACCCGACATGCTCAGGGACACGTTAGCGGCCGTTTTCGCGGGCGCCGACGACGACGAGGACGGCGCCCCCCTGACCGAGGAGCAGAAGCAGGAGGGGGCTCTGAGAGCCATGAGGGAAGCTGCCACTGGCGCCTTCGGTGGAGCTCCTATGGGGCCACGATCCTCGTGAGGGGTGTGCCGAAATAGCCCGAGGCCGCTGTGCGAACCCTGCCGCTGGGGCCTTCGGTGGAGTTCCCTATGGGGCAACGATCCCCGTGGTGGGGTGTGCCGAAATGGCCCGAAGCCGCCATGCGAACCTTGCCACTTGCGCTTTCGGTGGAGCTCCTATGGGGCCACGGTCGTTGCGAGGGGTGTGCCGACATGGCCCGAGGCCGCTGTGCGAACCCTGCCGCTGGGGCCTTCGGTGGAGCTCCCTATGGGGCCACGATCCTCTTGAAGGGTGTGCCGAAGTGGCCCGAGGCCGCCATGCGAACTTTGCCACTGGCGCCTTCGGTGGAATTCCTACGAGGCCACGATATTCGTGAGGGGTGTGCCGTAATGGCCCGAGGCCGCCATGCGAACTTTGCCACTGGCGCCTTCGGTGGAGCTCCCTAGGGGGCCACGATCCTCCTGAAGGGTGTGCCGAAGTGGCCCGAAGCCGCCATGCGAACCCTGCCGCTGGCGCATTCGGTGGAGCTCCTATGACGCCACGATCTTCGTCAGGGGTGCGCCGTAATGGCCCGAGGCCGCCATGCGAACTTTACCACTGGCGCCTTCGGTGGAGCTCCCTATGGGGCCACGATCCTCCTGATGGGTGTGCCGAAATGGCCCGAGGCCGCTGTGCGAACCCTGCCACTGGCGCATTCGGTGGAGCTCGGCCGCGGTTTTTTGCGAGGGGTGTGCCGACATGGCCCGAGGCCGCCACGCGAACCCTGCCAGTGGGCCTTCGGTGCGAATGGCCCGATGCCGCCATGCGCGTTCCGCCACTGGGACCTCAGGGGGAGTTCCCTATGAGGCCACGAGCCGTGTCAGGGGTGTGCCGACATGGCCCGAGGCCGCCACGCGAGGTCTTCCACGGGGATTTTCGGTGGAGCTCCATATGGGGCCACGATCCTCGTGATGGGGTGTGCCGAAATGGCTACAGTCCGAGTTCCGCCACTGGGACCTTAGGTGGAGCTCCCTATGGGGCCACGAAGCGCGTGAGGGGTGCCGAAATGGCCCGAAACCGCCATTCGAGTTCCGCCAGTGGAACCTTTGGTGGAGTTCCCTCCCTACGGGGTCACGAAACGTGTGAGGGGTGTACCGGCATGGCCCGAGGCCGCCATGCGAGTTCCGCCACTGGGACCTCAAGTGGAGCTCCCTATAGGGCCACGAAACGTGTGAGGGGTGTGCCAACATGGCCCGAGGCCGCCGTGCGAGTTCCGTGGGACCTCAGGTGGAGCTCCCTCTGGGGCCGAAGCGCTGTACTTGGTGGGTGAACTCAGGGAGGAGGGAGGAGGAGGAGAGGAGGAGGAACGCGCGCGGGGCACCGTCTCTTCAAAACGATGACCCAACACCACAGGACGGTTGGGAATTAGCCTGGCGAAGGACCCAACCAAATGCATTTGTGAACTCCGCAACTATGAATACTAGCTTATGAGTATGATCTTCGCCCGCGACCCCTATGGGGCCACGAACCGTGCGATGGGCATGCCGTCATGCGTGGCGGGGCGCACAACGCGAGCGAAGACGATAGGTCTGCGCGCGAGAAACTGAGAGCGAGTGAGTCCGATTGTGGGTGAGTCTGCGCGCGCGTGAATCTACGTGCATAAATGTCGACGCCCATGTCGGCACGCCTCTCACGAGGATCGCGCCCGTTTCCTTCCCCTTCTTCTTCCCCCTCTTTGCCCGTGCACGCCCACGTCCAAGGCTGCGGGCCGGGCGCCGCACGGAGTCCCCGCGACGCGCGCTGGTCGCCCCGAAGGGGTCCCGGCGACGCGCGCGGGCCGTCCTCTGCGCGGAGCAGACAGAGCGAGCAGGCTGGCTCCCGCCCGGGATGCGCGGCCCGAAAGCGGCCTCAATACGTCGCGTACGACGCAAAGCGACCGAAAACCGACAGTTTCCGCCATGCGAACTCCGCCGCAAGGCCGCCATGCGAGTTCCGCCACGGAGACCTTAGGTGGAGCTCGATGTGGGGACACGAAGCGCTGTATTGTGTGGTGGATGACGCATGCGGGCGGTCCCACTGGGGCCTTCGGTGGAGCCCCCATATGGGGCCACGAAACGCTGTACCGCGTGGTGGATGACGCATGCGGGCGGTCCCACTGTGGCCTTCGATGGAGCCCTCTATGGGGCCACGAAACGCTGTACTGGGTGGTGGGTGGCGCACGCGGGCGGTCCCACTGGAGCCTTCGGTGGAGCTCTCTACGGTGCCACGAAAAGCTGTGTTGGGTGGGTGATAACGCACGCGGGCGGTCCCACTGGAACCTGCGGTGGAGCTCCCTATGGGGCCGCGAAGCGCTGTACTGGGTGGTGGATGACGCAAACGGGCGGCCCCACTGGGGCCCGCAATGGATCCTTCTATGGGGCCACGAAGCGCTGTACCGGGTGGTGGATGACGCACGCGGGCGGTCCCATTGGGGCCTTCGGTGGAACTCCCTGTGGAGCCACGAGAGGCTGTGCTGGGTGCTGGATGACGCACGCGGGCGGTCCCACTGGGGCCTTCGGTGTAGCCCCCCTATGGGACCACGAAGTGCTGTGGTGGGTGGTGGATGACGCACGCGGGCGGTCCCACTGTGGCCTTCGGTGGAGCCCACTATGGGGCCACGAAATGCTGTACTGGGCGGTGGAAGACGCGTGCGGGCGGTTCCACTGGAGCCTTCGGTGGAGCTCCCTATGGGGCCACGAAACGCTGTACTGGGTGGGTGAAGCGCAAGGAGGAAAGCTGGGGGGGAGGAGGGGGAAGAGGAGGAGGGAGGAGGAAGGAAAAAGGAAGGAAGGAAGGAACGCGGGGAGCATCTCTTCAAAACGAGGACCCACCACCACAGGATGGTTGGGAACAGTGATGCAGCGACCCCTCCGCTGTTCGTCCCGCGCCCTCCTGGTCGTCCTCGCCCTCGTCGTCCTCGTCGTGCCCGCCCAGAGGCGGCGGCGCCGGCCGCAAGGCCTTCGCAATAAACACTCCTGGCGAACCTAGAAGTCCGCCGATCCCGTGGGGTCGCGGCGTGTGGGATGTTCCCCCCTTTCCGAAACCCTTCCCCTGGGAGCCCGGTCTGGCCGGTTTGGAGGGGGGGGGGGGAAAGGGGGAAGCCCGGAACGATTTGGGAACAACTTTCGTGGCGTATGTTCACGCATTGGAAAATATGTGGCTACTCGGTTTGTGTATTGTTTCATGTTTTCCTGCTTCGATTCCGTCTCGCATTCTTCGTCGACAAAATTCTGTAATATAATCCGCCCGAAAAGCGGCGCACAAAGATTTTACGTGTAATCCGGCGACGCCTTTGTGGGTCTCTCGGCGTGTGAGATAGTTCCCCCCCATATGTCCCCCCCCCCAGGGACCCCAAACCGGAGATTTGACCCCCCCCCTTCGCCGACAACGAGCGCGCCACGGGGCTTTTTTGGACCCGAAAGGGGCTCAAGACGAGCCAAGAAGGCCTCAAGACGCTTCCAAGACGGCCCACGAGGGGGCCACGAGACGCCAAACGAGCGCTCCAAGACGCCCAAGATGGCCCAAAGACGGACTAGGAGGCCTCCTAGACGGCCCAAGAGGTCGCCACGAGGCCCCAAGAGGCCTCCAAGATGCGTCCCAAGAGGGTCTAGACGCAAAAAATTGCCCATTTCCCGTGTAAAACGTACATTTTTCACACATTCGCCTTCTGGGTTGTCCGATGTTCCGGGACGGCCCAAGGAGGCCCCCAAGACCGCCCCAAGACGGCCCAAAAAGCCTCCAAAAGGGCCCCAAGATAGCCCAAGAGGGCCCCAAGACGGCCCAACAGGCGTCCAAAACGGCCCAAGAGGGCCCCGAAAACGGCCCCAAGACCGCTCCAGGAGCGCTCCAAATGGCCTCCAAGAGAGCTCAATCTGGTCCCAAACGGTCCAAGAGCCATCAAAAGACACCGAAGATGGCCTCCAGACGGCCCAAGATGCCCCCAAGAGGCCCCGAGAGGCATCGAAGGTGCGCCCCAAGAGGGCCTCTACACGCAAAAAAATTGCCCGTTCCCTTCGTAAAAACGCTGGTTTGTTTCATAAATTCGCCTTTTGGGCTTTCCGACGCTCCCAGACGGCCCAAGAGGCCCCCAAGACCGCACCAAGACGGTCCAAGAAGCCTCCAAGAGGGCCCCAAAACAGCCCAAGAGGGCGCCAAGACGCCTCAAGAGGCGCCGGAGACGGCCCAAGAGAACCCCGAAGACGGCCCCAAGAGCGTTCCAGGAGCACTCCAAGTGGCTTCCAGGGGAGCTCAACATGGTCCCACACGGTCCAAGAACGATCGAAGACACCCGAGATGGCCTCCAGCTGGCCCAAGACGCCCCCGAGGGGCCTCCAAGATACGTCCCAAGAGGGTCCCTAAACGCAAAAAAAAAAGATCATGTCCGTCTCGTTGGCTTTCCGACGGTCTAAAACGGCCCAAAAGGCCCCGAAGACCGCCCCAAGACGGCCCAAGAGGCCCCCAAGACGGCCCCACGACGGCCCAATCCCCAAGAGGGCCCAAGAAGGCTCCAAGACGGCACCAAGAGGGGCCCAAGAGGGCAACCAAACATTCAAAGATCTAGCTTTCCGCCCCCACGAGCCCCAGGGGGCCCCAAGAGTGCCCCAAGAGGCCGCCAGAGGCCCCCAAGAGGCCGCCAAGACGCCCCAAGGAGCCCCCAAGAGGCCCCCAGGAGGCCCCCAAAAGACCCCCAGACGCTTCCGTACTGCGAGCCGTCAAGCCAACTGCAACGCACTCCGCGCATACAGCCTTGCTCTTCCTCGCGACGTGCTCACTATCTTGCTCGGCGTGTTTCGTGCGCGCTGCGAACGTTCGTTTCGACTCATCTGCCACATCTTTCGCGGCGATGCCTCGCTGATCACAGCTTCCGCACGCTATTCTTGCTCCTTTCGTCTTCCGGTGGTCCTCCACTTGGTTGCGGGTCGAAAGGCCGACCTCCCAGAAGGACACCCCGCACCTGGGTGCACAGCGCGCAAGGCGCTCGCAAAAGACGCCCCAGACCACCGGCATCACGCAAACATTTGGACCCCCTACGTATCTGCCACCACCCGCGCGCGACACCGCACCCTCACACAAGACGCCGATGGCCAGAAACTCATGGCCTCGCAACACTCACAGAAGGGGTCGGCGGATGTAGCGTAAGCCTGTAGAATCTACACAATAGAACTCAGTGTGTAAATCGCCCACAAAAAATAGGAATGGAGTCCGGAATCTGAAATCTGTTACGTACCCAACCATTTCTACAACTGTTGCCATTCTACTCAGGACCACTCAATGCTGACTGGCAGTCTGACGGACCCGCAGCGCGCAAGAAAAGCAGCCAGCAGCGATTTCAGAAGAGCGCAGCAAGAAGAAGAACGGCAACCACTCAAAATGGAAACGCAGGGGCGTTGGAAGAAACGCGCCCAAAAAGTGAACACAAAAAGGCGCGGCGGCGAGGGCTAAAACAAAACATCCGTTTAATTCGGCAACGAGCTGCGCTGAGCGGGGCAAATGCATGACGTGCATAACGGGGGTGGAGACTCATCCAGCAGTGGGGACAGAAGGGCGCGGCAGCGAACCCAAAGTGAGGCACCCAAAAGTGGAATCAAAAGGTCGCGGTCGCGAGAATAAGCAGGAGCGGACGCAGGAGGGCTCGGTAGAAAAAGCTGCCAAAAAATGGTTACAAAACAGCGCGGCAGCGAACGCAATGAGACCTCCCCAAGAAGTGGAGACAAAAAGGGCGCGGCACCGGCAGAGAACCAGAGCACCCAAAAGGGGAGACAAGCCCCCAGGGGGAGGCGAGGTCCCGAGGATGTCCGCGTATGACGTACCTCCGCTGGGCCTCCTAGGAGCCAACAAGTGGCGACAATTGCGCAGATCGCAAGCCCCCCAGGGAACGGCGAGGTACCGAGGTGATCCGCGTATGACGCACCTTCGCTGGGACTCCCAGGAGCCCACGAAACTGGCGACAATTGTGCAGATCGCAACCCCCGCAGTAGGCGGCGAGGTACCGAGGTGGTCCGCGTATGACGTATCTCCGCTGGGCCTCCCAATAGCCAACGAAAGCGACGACAGCTGCGCGGATCGCAAGCCCCCCAGGGGGTGGCGAGGTACCGAAGTGATCCGCGTATCACGTACCTCCGCTGGGCCTCCGAGGAGCCCACAAAGTGGCGACAATTGCGCAGATCGCAAGCCCCCCCAGGAGGCGGCGAGGTACCGAGGTGATCCGCGTATCACGTGCCTCCTCTGGGCCTCCCAGGAGCCAACGGGAGTGGCGACAACTGGGCAGATCGCAGACCCCCCAAGGGGCGGCGAGGTACCGAGGTGATCCGCGTATGACGCACTTCCGCTTGGCCTCCCAGGAGCCCACGAAACTGGCGACAATTGCGCAGATCGCAAGCCCCCCGGGGGCGGCGAGGTGCCGAGATGATACGCGTATGACGTACCTACGCTGGGCCTCCAAGGAACCCATGAAAGTTGCGATGGTTGCGGAGATCGCAAGCCCCCCAGAGGGGCAGCGAAACACCGAGGTGATCCGCGTATGACGCACCTCCGCTGGGCCTCCTAGGAGCCCACGAGGAGTGGCGACAGTTGCGTTGATCGCAAGCCCCCCAGGGGGCGGCGAGGTCCCGAGGTGATCCGCGTATCACGCACCTCCGGTGGGCCTCCCAAGAGCCCACGGAAGTGGCGACGGTTGCGCATATCGCAAGCCCCCCAGGGAGCGGCGAGGTACCGAGGTGATCCGAGTATGACGTATCTCCGCTGGGCCTCCCAAGAGCCCACGAAACTGGCGACAATTGCGCAGATCGCAAGCTCCCCAAGGGACGGCGAAGTACCGAGGTGATCCGCGTATGACGTACCTCCGCTGGGCCTCCAAAGACCGAAGAGCCCACGAAACTGGCGACAGTTGCGCAGATCGCAGGCCCCCAAGGGGGTGGCGAGGTACCGAAGTGATCCGCGTATCACGTACCTCCGCTGGGCCTCCCAGGAGCCCACGAAAATGGCGACAATTACGCAGATCGCAAGCCCCCAGGGGGCGGCGAGGTACCGAGGTGATCCGCGTATGACGCACCTCCGCTGGGCCTCCCAGGAGCCCACGAAAGTGGCGACAATTGCACAGATCGCAAGCCCCCCGGGGGGCGGCGAGGTCCCGAGGTGATCCGCGTATAACGCACCTCCGCTGGGCCTCCCAAGAGCCCACGAAAGTGGCGACACTTGCGTTCAGAGCCCGCTTCGTTCATGCTCGTGGACGCCTGAGGGCCTGGCGCGCGAGCTCCCCGAGCCAAGCGCCCCATGTGTTCCGCTACGAGGGTGCCTGTTCGGGGCGCGCGTTCGAGCCGCATCTGCTTTTCGAGCTCCAAGAGAGCGCTCAGGCACGCGCGAGCGTCGTTCCAAGCTGCGGGGCACTACCCCCTACTCGCCGAGTGATCCTCGATCGAGCATCAAGGAATCAAGCGGGTTCGATCCTCCATCCTCGGATCGATGATCCGAGATTTTGGGCCCGAGCATATTCGAGCACCTTGGGCCCTAGATCCGAGGGTCGAGGGTCGAGCCTCGGCGACCCTCGATCGTCGCACTGCCAGCGGGAATGCTCGATCCTCCATCCTCGGGTCCGAGATCGTGGCCTTGAGCAGCAGCGAGCACCTCGGATCCTTCATCCGAGGGTCGCCAAGTTTGGACTAGAAGATCTCGGGTTCGACATCCGGGCCTCGAGGGCCGAGTCTCGGCGATAGTGGGCCACCCCGCTCGCCGTCCTCGGGCCCGCGCTGCCAACGAGCAGGCTCGACCCTGCATCCTCGGATCTGGGATCCGAAGTCTTGGTCTTGAACATATGCGAGCACCTCGGATCCTAGATCCGCAGGTCGGCAAGCTTGGACTGGAAGATCTCGGGCTCGACATCCGAAGCTCGAGGACCGGGACTGGGCGATAGTAGATCGCCCCTCTGGTCGTCTTCGGGCCAGCGCTGCCGCCGAGCAGGCTCGACCCTCCATCCTCGGATCGATGGGCCGAGATCTTTGTTTTGGGCACCTCAGGTCCTAGATCCGAGGATCGCCAGGCTAGGGCTCCAGGATCTCGGGCCCTCGATCCAAGGGTCGATGGGTTGAGCCTCGACACCCGGCGGTCGCGCGCACTCGCGCACGCGCGCGCTCTCGCGCGCTCGCGCACTCACGCGCACTCGCACGCCCGCACTCCCACACACAAACACTAACGCACACTCACACACAATAACACAAACAACAGCAGTCACGACAGCAACGCCAAACAGCAAAACAGCAGCAACAGCAGGGCACGACATAACCAAGACAAGCACCACGAGAACAAACAACCGCTGCGCAAACAACAAAGAGAAACAATACAACCAAGACAAGCAACAACAACGAGACAAACAAGAACGACAACAAGACAGACAACGCGAACAACAAACAACCGTGGCCAATCTAGGCTCAAGCATTCCAAGCCAGCTGAGAACGCAGCACCCCATGGCCGAGTCAGACAGCGACGATCGTCGGCCTGTCGCCGAGCGGTCGGACGACGAGAGCGTCGGCGAATGGGCGAAGAGTGGGCGAGGGAGACGGAACCCGCCACGACGGGGGGGGCGCCAGCAAACCCGAAGACAAGAGCCTCGAGGACAAGAAGCTTGACGACAAGGAGGTCAAGCTCGAGGTCAAGCCGCATGGCGCGAAGGTCAAGCTGGGGGACAAGAAGGGCACCCCAAGCTCGAGAACCAAAAGAAGCTGGAGGACGAGCCCGGCACTGAAGAGAAGCGCGGGCGCCTCTGCAGGCCCGCAACGACAAGGCAGCCCGATGCCTCGCAGGCCTCGGCCTCGAGTCCGGACTCAGCCCCGAGGCGCCCCGCGAGCCGCTTGGAGCTCTGAGCGAGGTGCTTTCGGGCAGAGCGAAGACGGGGCGCTGGGGGCACTCAGGTGACCCCCGGACTCGAGGACGCCAGAAAACAAATAAGAAACACTAAGAACAAGCATGCGCCAGAGCAACATAACCAACGACGCGAAGAACACAAGCGCACGCAAGCCGCGCAACACGCGCAAACAACAGCAGCGGTCACACAAACAACAGCAACAGCCAGCAGCGAAACAAGAGCACCACCGACAACAGAAGAAACAACAGCAAGCACAACGGCAACACCAGAAACCGACGCAAAGGCAAACCACAACAGCAAGGAAACCAACAATAACAACAAGCGAACACTTAGGACCACCAGCGACAAGCTAACAACCTTCCGTAGCCACGTTGGCTCCAGGCTTTCTGTTTCGAGATACTGCAGCTTTGCAGCGAGACTCCGATGTCCACGCCGACGAAGCAGACGAGCTGGTCGGGCCTCTGGGGCCTGCAGACCTCGCCGCCCGCGGCCCCGAGCTCGCACCTGAAGCTGAAAGCCTCGCCCTACGAGACGGCCGACCCCGCTGCGAGCTTCTACAGGCAACTCGAGGCCACGGGGCTCGAGGCTGAGACGGCCGAGCAGGATTTCTCTTCCTCCTCCGCTTTTTTATCTTCGTTATGTTTCATGTGCTCCTCTTCGTTTATCCTTCGGGTCGAAGTTGCTATCGCTGCGTGCCGACTAGCAGAAGCTTCAAAAATGCGTTGCCTTATCGTCCTTGTTCCTTTCCTTTTGCTCCGCTTCCCTCTTCCCCCCCCCCCCGTCTGCCCCCCCCCCCCCGGAGGGGCCGAACTTCTTGATGCTGCGTTTCCCCCCCGCGGGGCCCCGCCGCATGCGAGGTTGAAACATAAGGTCCCGAATCCAATGTTTGAAATCGTTCCTGGGACCATCCTCTCCTCTCTTCCGTCACGCCATTATGATTCCTCTCTTCCTGTTCGTGCTCCTACTAGTAGTATGGCAATCAACCCGCGTGGTAAGGATGAACGATCTTGTTACACCCAGGCATTATTGCCACTTCGGCCCATCCCTGGGCCTTGCGAGGACCTTGCATCTTCGCCGCGCATCCTTACTGCACGAGTCGACTGCAATGCCACGAGCGCCCCCCCCCCCCCCCCCCACACCCCACCCCCACACCCCCCCCCCATGCAGGAGCGACTCCCGGCCGCGGCCGCGCGCCGAGAGCTTGCGAGCGCCGAGGGCAAGGCCCTCGCCCCGCACGGCTTCGGCCGGGGCGCGAAGCGAGGCCTCGGCAAGGGCGGCGGGCCCCGCGGCACGAGCGCGGAGTACAAGGGAACGCGCAGACCCCGAGCTGAGCCCGCGCTGCGACGGGACCCAACGGCGCAACCCAAGCTCCAGATCCCCCTCGACTGGAGCAAGCACACGGACGTGCACAGCGTGAAGAAGTGAGCCCCCCTGCAGCCTCGAGTGAGAGTCGAGCCGCAACAGAACTGGCGCTGGGGCCGCGAGGCGGTCGCCCGATGGCACGGCCTTCGAGCCGCCCTCGGGAAGAAGGTTGCCACGGCGAGGCCCGGCAAGAACGGCCCCCGAGCCGCGGGTGCGTCCGAGCGAACCTGCAGAGGCGCAACAGGAGCCACGGCGCCAGGCTGCCCCGCGAGATCCCAGGTCAAGTCACAGCCAAGCGCCCGCGCGAGGGCATCATGCACCGCCTTGAGTGCTGGTTCGAGCGGGCGCGCGATCACGGACACAAGGTCAGGAAGAAGACCCGTCTGACGCGGCTGCGCTACGAGCTGGCCTTCGAGCAGGACAAGCAGCTCCACCTGCAGAATATCGGCCAAATGGGCTACCAAGACGGTGACCAAGCGCCTGAATACCTTTCATATTAACCAGACGACCAAGAAGGCATGCAGTGGTTGCACGAGTTCTTCCT